GGGGGAGGGGGGGGGGCCAAGGATCAAATTAGGATGGGAAGAAAAGAGGAAGGAGGGAAGGAAGACAGGAGACTTACTTTTGTCAGGAGATTTGATGAGGGTGGCAGAGGAGGAGGATAGGCGTTTGCTGATGCCAGCCTCAGACGGCTGCTTCAGGTTCATGGTGGATGTGGAACGCTTGTCCACTAAAGAGGGAGGAGGAAAGACAGACAAGGGAGGCGGGGATTACACTGGAGGTTGGCCAGTGGGGAAGGGCATTTGGGTGCACACAAGGGATTACAAGGTTCTGCAAGATCTTAATATCCCTAATATGCAATGGGTGATATGTTGCTTCATTAATATGCCTAATACAAATACATAAAAACCATATAAACCGATATAATATCCCCCATTAAGCCACTGATCTAATGTGCTACTAATGCTTAGCAGATTTAGTAAAACACATGATATATGGTATGAATTTGCTAGTAAGTATCATGTTTAACATGACAATGTACATTTTTAACAAACCATAACAAAGTTGTTGAGCCAGGCATGGTGGTTAGTAAACAACAGATGCTTATGTCTGACCACTCGAAAGAGAAGAGCATCAACAACATTACATGGTCGTGCCAGAGAATCCAGAGGTGATATTAGTCCTAATTTTTGCGTTGCGCTTCCATGCAAAGTTACCCATGTGACCTGGAAGTGCTCGACAGTGTGGGTGGGTGAGAAACCTAAAGCTGCACTTCCAGCTATTCACCCAGCAAAAGGCACATTCAGAACACCCATACAACAAACGATTAGTGAAAAATTGCCAGTTAGACTGCAGGTGAGAGCTGGTGGGTGGGGATAGGGTGCGGTGGGGTTATCGGTAGGAGGGGGAGTAGGTAACCAAGCTATTTGGAGTGCCAGTGCCAGTCCATGCTATGTTGCTACATTGGTGAGCAAATGATCAACAAACAAAACCTTGTCGACTCCTTGGTGGCTTTTCTGGCGAGGCAGGGGAGATAAGTATTGTTACTGGAGATGAGGCGCTGGCATCAGAATCTCCTGTGGGAAAAGACAGCTCTCAGAGAGGAGCAATAAAACACAAGACGCTGAGGGATATCCTTCATAGAAGGGAGAGAGGAGGCGAAATCTGGCTGATGGCCATCAGCTTTTTCTTGACACCGTGTGGCTAAAACAATAAGTACTAGCCTCAGTATTGACAATTTTGGCACCAAAATGACAGAGTGGGTACCCTGAAAATATAAACAAAATGTATTTTAAACGACCCATTCATTTCTTTTAGTTAAAAACACTTTTCTGTACAGTACAGTGTGGTTTATTGTCTGAGTGTCAAACAGTAGGAGTGACACTAGTCTGAGTCAAGAGCATAAAGTGTTGAGAGAGTGTGAGTGTGACAGACTACAGTTAGAATTAAATGGGAGTAACTTCTCCTGCCTAGCTCCAAAACCTATAGCAGCTAGATATTGAAGCTGTAAAATATTGTCACCTCTCTGAATTTCTGAATAAGTAGTAGTACTTCGCCTTTCTCTAAATAACCAGTGTCATTTGTATCAATACCAGCCAACTCATCTGGCATTGTCATCAGCTGCTGGCAAAAGAAAGAATGCTTTTATGTAACTCGTGGCTGAATTTCACCTCAATTCTGTTGAAATAGAATCACATTGTGAACTTGACCACTTTCACATGTTGAAGAAGTGAGGTGCTTTTGGTGTATCCCAACTGGCTCTTTAATGCACCATGGCAAGTGAATGATGAATGTCAAATGGAACAGAAAAGCAGAAAGGAGAGGGTGAAGAAAGGGCCTCTACCTGTTCGTCCATCAGAGTCTGTGGACAGTCCTCCCCAGGACCATCTTTTCTGCCTCTGCTCCACTCGCTGACTACGCTCCAATGTCCGCCGCATCACTGCCTCGTAGTGCTCCTGTGGAATAATGGGGCAGAGGGAGAGAAAATGCAAGTCATTTACAGCAGAACAACATTTGTCACTTAATCAGAGAGGACAAGACCTGATGATGCCATAACTACACAGCAACATAGTTATCTTCTTTTTGTTAAATATATGAAAGTAGGCTGAATTTAATTATTTTAGTTACAAGAGTCAAATCAACTGAGCAACAACGAGCGCTGCTCTGAGCCTGTCAAGACTCCACCCATGCCTCATCTACCTTTTCCTCTTCCTGTTTCTGCTTCCTCTTCTCCTCCACAGCCAATCGTTTCTGCTCCTCCTTTCTTCGCTGCTCCTCAACCTTTTTCTGACGCTCCTCCATCTGGCGCTCCACTTGCAGCTTGGCCTTGCGCTCCCGCTCCATAATCTGAGACTCTCGCAAAGCTGAGAGCACAAACAGTTCATGTGAATCCATGGAAGGGGATTGTGTGCAGGAAAAAAAGTCAATAAGAATCTATAAGGACCAGGGCTCTTAAAAAATATCCATTTAAGGCGTAGCTAACAATTGAACAATTATGAACGATGATTTCAATAGTTTCTTTCAGTGAAAATTTAATTTGTGATGCAAAACTGACATTTCCATGTCAAAAATAATGGCAATATGATGTTTTACCATATCGTGCAGTCCTAATTATGTTGGACTGGCCATGGCTAAAATAACTTACTAACACAGACACTGGCATCGCCCTCTTACCCTGTTGTTTGTCTGCCTCTTCTCGCCTCTCTTTTGCCACTCGCAGTCGGTCGTCTATTTTAAGTGCGGCACCGTCAATGACTGCAAACACATGCATGTGCATATGCGTTTAAAAAGGTAAAACATGTGCAGCGATGCATATTAAAACAACAAAATGGTGGATTACAATGCAGCAAATTGTTACAAAGGCTTTGCGTCAGGTAGGCAGATGTGTGCATGTGATAATGAGCCTCGTTAACTGTTACAGTAATAAGATGATGACTAAGATTTACCTGCAGTAAGCTACACTGAGTGGGCGGTTGAAGTGGATTGTGTTGCATCTAATGGTTCAGATTATGGATGACAATAGAGCGGTGACAGGGCAGAGTCTGTGAGAACTGATCTGTTTCTGTGTCAAGGTGTGGTGTCATTTACCTGGCTTACACCCCTGAGGTTTAGCTGGTGGGTTGGCTGTAGGTCCGGGACTGTTCCCTGCCAGGCTGCGCCGCTCCTCGGCTTGTGCCTGTGCAGCTGCAGCTGTATGTGGGAAAACACACACACCGCGCGCACAGAACTTGTCACATCATGTCATGTCTGACAAAGCAGGGAAATCACATAATATCAGAACAGAATTGCTCTGGGTGCTCCAAATCAACCGGGTTTTTTTCTCTGTGCTTTGGTTGCTCTCCATGGGAATGCTAGTTCTAGAGAGATCCAACGGATTTGAAGCTACAGAACAATCCAGCTATTCAGCCATCTGACATAACCCCCCGCGCATGGTCAACCCTGTAGCCAGCCATACACTGCTTTCTGTGACACGCTCAGAGACATGGCTGGATGGAATCAAACCCATGTGAGCTTCCTGGTATACAGCTAATACGCCTGTTGGTGCAACATTAAAAAAGAAAGAAATTCCCCCAATATAAAAACTGAATAAAATCAATGGAAGAAAACAATTCCACATACATAGTCGGCTTTGCACTGGTTTATCCATCGTGGAAAAAAAATTAACGAGTTATCCTGCACTTGCAGCAAAACGGTTTTGTTTTAGAATTTCTGCTGCATAGGATTTCTATCACTACAGAGAGAAAATGTCAGTGTCCAATGTCCATGAACTAAGCAATTCCAGATAAAAGAACAGGGGTTACAAACATGCTTTTAAGGTAGCAAATACATCAACTCTTCCACCAGGACCACCACAGGGTTCTTCAGCCAGAAGTATTCACAGCACAGTCCTGGTTAGGAGATACAGGCAGGAAGGAAGGAAACAGTGAGGACATGATGAAGCTTTCTGAGCCCTGGTATCAGCCTGTTCTCCTGTCTCTTTCCTTCTGTGTCCGAGTGTATTCAGCATTACACAACTGCTGACAAAGACGCAAAACCATGGCCAGTCATGTGAAATTCACATTCTAATGAACAACTGTTTCTGTCACTGCTTCTACCAGTTTTAGCCAATTTATGATTCCACAAACCACATGTACTTTACATCATCATCATCAACGGTGTGTTTTGTGGTAATAAAGTAAAATGCATTAAGATGATGCAGAATTATTCAGAAAGGTCTCATTAACATGCTTTATTCATCGTGTGCTTTACCTAAATCAATAAAAAGCAATGACTGCCTGCAAGGTAGCCTGCTATCTATAAAAAATATGGCAGGCTTTGGGAAAGTATTAGCCATAGTGTGTGCAATCTGTAGTAATTGCACTAGAAGAGGCGAAAACACCAGTGACTTCTTCGATCTACTGAATCAATTAGTGACACAACAAACATTAGGTCACTGATGTGGAAAAAATAAATATAGATTAGATTCGCTTGTCAACATGAAAAAAACCCACCGACCTGTTCGATGTAGCGTCATAGAAAAGCCAAAACCAATGTTGACCAAATACTTAGAGCATCTTCAGAGGGGAGGCAAGGTAAGAAAGCGGCTTAGTAGAGCATACTTGTGACATGGTGTGCCAAGTCATGATCATTTCCCTCCGAGCGGGGGATAACCACACTCACAATACTGTGGCCATCTCTGTCTACACATAATGAGACGTGCTTTGTTGCACTCGTGCGGGCAACTAGAGCTTCATTTTTAAAAGGCCTTGTATGTTCAGTTATGGTACCTCAGAGACTACTGTGTAACAAAGCCTCTGCTAGTCCAGTAGTTTTGTTCTACTTTCCTACAGTCCTGTTTGTTCTTCCCAGCACTGTTGTTTGCCATTGGTAGCATGTGAAATAGGGAATATCAGTATATATCATGATGCAACTCTGGTGGTAGACAAATCAACGTCTGACTGGAATATTGTCATATCTCCCACTCTGAATCGTAAAAGTAATTAAGAAGCTGCTAATGCAATTGCTTTCTGCTACTTCCCATTAAACACTGTCCACCAGTGAATTACAGTAAGGCTTTTCTTTATAACGCAGCTATAGAAAGTGCAGCTTTATATGCCACTAAGGTAAGATACAGACACTTGTCTTCAAAAGAAAGAGCCACAATACATTGGAATGGTAGGAATGAAGGCACTTTGATAATCAAAGTTTGACTGTGTTGTCTTGACACATGGAAAACATTCATTCTGTTCCCACCACAAGCACCGATCATGGTTTCTCAGAGTACACCACACCATGCATGACCTATCTAGAAAATGTAATAATAGATCATGAGAAAGTTAAACTGAGATACAAATGTGTGAAGAGTCAACTCAAATGATGCTATATTTAAAAAGCAGAGGGTGCTTCCTACTTTTGACTCTGTGCAACGTCCTACGTAACTAAAGAGATGGTGGCTGCAGGTGAAGACTTTGAAACTGAGGATGCATCATCGCGTGAAGCAGTTTTTTTGGCTTCCCTAAATCAGAAAATAAAAAAGGGAAGAAGATAATAGACAAGACAAGGCAAGAGATATGAGGTCGTTTCTTATAGTGTTGTATTTTCAGTTTCTCTGAAAAGGAAATATGCATTGTTTTGCACAGTTTTTACCCCAATACCCTACCTCAAAAATAAAGGAATGATTTTTAGTCATAATTTGTAGTCTCAAAAAAAAAAAAAAAAGGGAGGAAGGAAATCATATTATGAATCCAGTATCGTGAATTTTTACCTCTACATCCGAGTCATATCTGTAGGGAAACTGCCTACCTTACTCTCTGGAAAGCAGAAGAGTGATATTGAGTGATATCGTTTGTTCACCCAGTTGACTATGGACTATGAATATGTTGTCTGCACCCCTCAACCAAAGGAAGATTCATGAATGCAGACAAGAAGAAATAAGAAACGGAAAAGGGTATCTGGATAGACATTTTAAGACTGACTGCGTAGCTCTCAGAGAGATTTAGACAAAACTATTCTTCTGAAGTATCTGCAACAAATCAGACATGAGTTTTAGCTATCAGTGAGAGCTGACAGGGTCGGGAGACGTGCACTGATTATCTGTATTCTGCAGCAGCATCGATGCTCTACAGTCAAAGAAGCTTAGAGGGTCAAAGTCTGTGGCTAATACCCAGTGGAAATGTACAGGTTACTTCACTGTGGGCTCCAACTTCAACCCCACGGCTGTAGGCTAAACGCTGGGTAAATGATGGATGATGTGACTGCACTTTTTACAGGAATCATACTGTACCACAAAGAATACACTGACCTCAAAGAAAACAAGACACTGGGGGGGAGTGAGAGCAGGGTTGACATGAAGAGAGAAACAGGCAGCAGCGGACGAGCTGGTGTGCGTGCAAAGAGACTAGGCACAGAGGTGTAGGTGTGTGGGGGAAAGAAAGACAAGATGAATAACAATGGTAAAATAAGGTGGAGAATTAAGTAGAATTAAAATGGTAAAATAAGAACTAACCTACTCTTTCAAATATTTCTTCTATTTTAAGGATTTGTTTTCTGAAAAATAAACATGGTTCAGATGCCTAATTCTAATTCTAACAATGAATCACATTTACTAACTAACCTACATTATAGGCTTACACCTCATTTTCATTCCTATTTGGAGCTAATAAACACATCTGCTTTTTAATCACTGTCTCTCTGTTGAGATAAGTTAAGATAAGTTCCCTCACACTGCGAACCGAGTGGAGAGAAGTGGAATGGTGCCTTTTCATTCTTATAATGTTGTGCAGTAAATATATTTTATGTCCCATCACCTACTCCTACCACACTGTCACATGCTGTGCCACCCACCACTACAAGGACATTCCCAACTTGGAAACACGGCGTTCTGTATTAATGCAGTGTGCTACCGGTGCATATCACACTGCATGTTCAGCAGACAGTATAGGTTAGCATAGGAATTTTTGGAAAACTGCTATTGCCTTACCTTCTGTCAACAACACATTCTCCTTTCCTCAAGAGAATAGACAGGGAAGACAGATGTGGCACTGTGGGCTAAAGGAGCTGATCTATATTCAGAAGACAATCTAATTCTAGGAGATGAATGAAGCACACACCGAGTAAAAACACATTTATCTCTCTAGAAAAGACGATGCTAAGCTATTGAAGCTATTGAATTATGGCTTAGTCATCAATTGTGCAGAACATGTAACGGATACGTCCTGGCTTTAAATCTCTCATATCTCACTCTCTTACCCAACCTTCCCTGTTCATGTGCAACCGGATAACTGTTGCTAAGTGATGCACTGCAGCTCGGGATGGATGAAGAGGTTCTCAACCATGTTTAGGCCTGTGCGAACACAAACACTGACTCTGAAACCAGGTGATTCATAGCTAAATAAAGAGAACAGAGCGGTGAAGCTTTAAAGAACTACTCATCAATCCAAATGTAAACTTAAAAGAAACAATTACTTCACATTTGGGCTGTACAATACACAGTCGACTTATTAACAGTAACACCGTGCGAATGAAGGGATGCTGATACAGCCACCCATAATCAGTAGATTAAGGGTCAAATATATGAAGGGGCTGTTCAAACAGTATTAACAATGCAGAGGAGAAGCCAAATATTAAGTTGTAACGTTATGACCTTCTACCATGACATGGCAGGCTTTAGACTTCGAGCGAACTGCAGTCTCTGGTCTTAAGAGGGAAGTAAAAGCAGACAGGAAAGCAAAGGGGCTGACTAGGTAACAGCTGTTATGCTGAAACTCTACTCTTTTTGTTTTTTTCCTACGCAAGATTACTTGTGCATAAAATAATCTGCTGTAATGTCTAGTTGAATAGACCTTTCTGTCTCAAACACTGACGCTGTAAAGACTTGACTCGAGTGCTGGGTGCCACGGCGTCAGTGCTCTCCACTGAATGACATGTAGGACGAAATTCTGTTTTCCCAACAAACCTCAAGAGAGCCAGGTGTGCTCATAGAAATGAACGGAGCCAATCAGAGGAGCCGTCTCTCATCACTATGGAGATTTGCACACATTAACATACATCAATGCTGCTGCATCGACAGACTCAGCTTAATGCTTCGACGAGCAATTAACTACGTACACACCAGACTCGTCCATTGGCCTTATCTGAGCTACATAACTGACTGTTCATGTGAGTGTAGGTACAAGTGACGGGCCAAGACTCAGAGTGAAAAGATCCAGTGTGCAGTGGGTCATGAAGCCACCGAGTAGTTTAGTGTGGTGTATTTTAGTATGGGATTAATTCAGTCGGTATAATATTTACACAGCTATTGTGATGCTGATTTTAGGTAGTAGGAGATGCTCAAAAGAGGAAAATATTCACATCCAAATACATATTGATTGGATGTGGTCTAACCTTCCGGATGCTGAGTTATTACGGCAGCAGTAAAAAGCACCAGGGGGGCTTGTGATGACCCCGCTCTGCAGCCCAGACAAAAACACCAAACAGGAAATGGGCCAGTCTGAATTACATTAGAACACTTGTAGTCGAATGCTAACACGGACCCAATGCTGGTTCTCTAAATAACAAGAAAGACCTCCAGAGTACGGAGAGCTTCAGACAATGTTAGTTTAGTAAGGAAGCAAGAGTGGGTTAGGAATCCTTTCTGTCCCTCCTCCTCCTCCCCTCTGTCCCAACTGCAGCCTCTATGTGTCCTGCAGCATGGTGCAATTAAGTGGCTTGTAGCACAGGAAGCGTCTGCAGTGCTTAATGAAAGAGGAAGACCATTTGTAGTGAGAACCTCAAAGAACGCAGGGATTTTTAACTCCAGCCAAACGACGTAATCCAGTGACCAAAACAACTTGAACCAGCAATTAGTTCCTTTCTTTATTCTGTTAATTGTGTCCAGTTAAAGGACCTTGTGTAAAATTAAATGAACGTGTCGTACTTGGCTGCCATAAAAACATCAACATTCTCGGCGTTCTGTGGCCGACAGCTCCCCATCCGCTGGCTCAAGATCTCAGGTCCTCAGATAACACTGCTGATGCACGCTCACACACGTGCACGCTCACACGCACACACACACACACACACCAGATCTTCTATGGGATTACTCGAGACCTGTTCATGCAAGGTAAGCCTCGGCTATTTCCAGTACTGGCAGGATAATGATGACACATCCCAGTGTCGGAGTCTCCACTTCCAGGTGGAGCACGGTTTCCTGTGGAGAATATACGCTCAAAGGTTGTGATCATAGGCAAATCCATGATCAATTATCAATCCAGTTCTTTTACTTACAGTGCAGATTTGTGTGTGGTGTGGTAGCTTTACTGCATAATCTCTTTATAGAACAAATACGCAGACGAGAGTCGACAGATGTCTCAAATACATCAATACTAAAATAACAAGAACTGTCAAAGTTGACAATAAATTAGTAAAAGTAATCTCGAAGTAATAGTTACATGCTGAGAGGCAAATTGTAATTGGACTCTATTAGACTATTATTACTACTACTGACGCTGTGCCACAAACAATTTGCGTCCCAGTGTTTGACTGTCAAGACCTGGCCAATTTGGAAGAGGTTCTGAACGGGAATTTATCCTCGAAACAGCTGCCAGGGAACTTATATGCAGCTGTGTTCAATGGAACTATTTTCTTATGGGAAATGGAAGAAAAACAGTCCAAACAGATAGTGGAAATAATTGTGATATATGAAAACGCTGCCTCGTGAACAAAACTACTCTGCAGATGGATGGACCTTAGTTATGGTCTATACACATTAACATGTTTTGTTATTCAAATCCTTGGTGCGTGTACGTGCGTGCAAATACTTTCTGAGATACATCAGTTCATTTAAAAGATTAAAATAAAACAGGGAAGGGCATCTGTGCTAGAACAGCAAAGCTAAGTGGACTCTACACTAAAAACTGAGGCCATTTCCTCCTCTGGTTAAATCCAACCAGCTCAGAAATATTTCTCATGCTTTTAATTCTGCAGCAGCGATTGCTGAGCCAGGATCAGGGTAACCTTGCAGTAGTGTGATCTCCCTTCATAATAGCAGGGTGCATTTTCTCCTTGCTCACATTCTTGTGGAAATGCACAAGAGCTGGATTCCTAACATTATTTTGTCATTGTCAGTCTTCTGCTCTGACCCGGAGGAGGCCAACGAAACTGACATCCTCTTATTCCTCACAAAGCCAGGACTCCAACATTTTCACATCACTCCAAACGCTGCGGACATTTTCATGAAACCACAGAATTGGGTGGATGCAAATTCCAGATTGAAAATACTGAATGGAAAAGTTAAAGGAAACAGGAAGAAGACCCGGACTAAATATGGTCCAGTTGTTGGCAGGAGTAAAACATGCCTACACCCACACTGGGTATGCAGAAAACTCCCTCTGACCCTAAAACACTGAAAAATCTGTCAGCCCAACTGCGGCTCAAGTCATAACAAACTGTGCATTCATGCCTGCAGATGCAGACACGGTAAACATAGATGTCTAAGTCTGGAAGGGACCGGCTGAGGCGTGGATGAGGAGCATTGATAGAGGATCTTGACGCTGCAGTCGGCCTACAAAGTACTATTTAGAGGAACGCAAATGTGCCTTTTGTTTAACAGAAATGTTTGGGACACAGGGCTGCTCTTTTATCGCTTCATCAAGAAGAGCAGCCATGCAGCCTTATTCTCTTATCAGAGCTCAGTGTCTGACTGCGTCTGACACTCCAGCTTTATCTGATATTCAGGTCAGACATTGTTATAGTTGCCCTCCGTTGAGAATGGAGGGGGTTATGCCATATGTCAACACAGACCAATGGATGTAGGAGGAGAAAAAAAAAAGGGAGCACTTTGTTCAATTGTGAGCAGGAAGCTAGAAGATTTACTTTTTATTTGTGGCTAGAAAAAAACCAAACCACCTGTCTGTTGGCTTTTCCACTGTAGGCATCAACGCTGACTGCTGTCAACCTCAATACAAAAGGCAAAGCAGATGATCACTTTTGACAATAATCCCCCCAAGTGATGAGCAACGTTGTCTAATCTACCGACAAAATGTCAGTTGCAAAGCAGTTAGTTAGCATCGTTTACCGGGCATTTAGAGTCGGTGTGATGAGTCTAACACGTCCACACAGCAGCACTTTGTTGAGCAACGTGATGAAATGCGGTGAAGCAAAGCTAAAGCAAAGCTAAGGTGAGCTGAGCGCCAGGCGAGCAGAGCTAGCGTAAAGTCGTGATATGTCAACCGGCTCTCTGGCTACAACTTTAACTAGCTACGGTTAACGACAACTACTTCACTTCCAGGAAAGTTAAACCACTTCGTTTAGGCCTTTAATTCAGCAACATAGCCGCCGGCTACGGTGGGTAAATTCAACACCACTTGTAACGTTTAATGCGGGAAGAAGTTGCTGATTTTCCGCATCCATTGTCAGCAGATAACCGGACAGCGAGCTAACAGTACTAGCCCGAAGAGCTGGCCGCGTTTACAACACGTTCAAACAACCCGGCTGGTGGCGGCAAACATTACAAAGTGATTACTACATTGTAAGACACAACTGGGTCAAAAAATAAGCACGGCTGCCAAGATTTTTCTTACCCATTTGGGCTCGCAAGCCTTTGAGAGTCGTTGCACCCTCCGCCATTTCTATGAAGTTTTCCTTCTCTGTTTTTTTTTTTTTTTTTTTTTTCTAAAGCTGGGGCGCGTAACACATCGCAGCCGGTAGGACTCGGACACCGCGGGGACGTGGACATCAGAGAGCGCGTCAGACGGAGAGAGGTCTCACTCTGATCTGTTTCCGGAAACCGACAAAAGCGTCGCAAAGCGCGGATGTACAAAGCGTTCAAAATGCTGCTGTGTGACCGGAAGATATTTATATTCGAAACTGATTTCATACAATTCAGACATATACTAAACATTATGTTACTGCGCAATCAGTTTCGACTTGTTAAAGAAACGAGTTGACGTTTTTTAAAGTTTAGTTAACACATGCGATGCTGCATATATTATTTATGAGCAGTAAAAACATGGCGTTCGACAACTCTGCCAGGTCAGTTTCCAAGAAGTGGACTGCGAAAGAGAGGCTGCTTCATCTTGCACATTATTTTCTGTTTTTCTGAAACTTTTAATCATAGACGAAAAGTTGAGCAAGCTGCAAGGTGTTCCATTATTTGTCACCAGTAGTGGTTCATCTGTTTAGTTGACGATCTAAGAAGGTGCTCTTACAATACTAGACACATTCACTATGACACCCAAGCGCGCCCCCCAGCGTTTATGTGGTGGGTGCTGCATGCTATTAAATTGAAAGTTAATCCACAAGAGATACTGACAACACCAGCAGTTAAATGTCGGAGTCAATTAACAAAACAGGCAAGATACTTTCATGAAACAAGTAGGTTCATTTACACACATAGAGCACTTTCATGACATAGAATATATGCATAATAGAGAGTTTTTGGAGGATGTGGAAGATCTTAGAAGTAGAAGTCTTAAAGAAGGTCTTAAACAAGACAGTATATTTACTGAAATCTTATTAATTTGCCTTTGAGGTGGCTTTGTAAAATATTGATGGGGGAAAAAAAGCAAGTCTTACCAGATTTAATGTGCTGAAGAATCTGCAGAGGTCGAGATCGAGTAAAATTGTCAGTAGGCAAACTTCTCCCAGTGAGAGAATAACATATTTTCTCAGGGCTCTATGTTCTTCCTCTTGCCATGAACACTGCATCCTCTGTCCTGGTCCGTCTCACATGCTTTAGCCAGAGGGCCTCTCATCTATTTTACATGGTAAACAGGAAGTAACACCGCATGTAGGGTTCAGTTGCAATGGCCTGGATATTGTGTTATTTAACACTCAAAGCACAAATAATGACTTCTTCTCACTGTTTAACCTAATCAATCATGTGACATCTTTTATAATAAGGAATGTATCCATATCTATACAAACAAAATACAACACAATTAGGTGAAAAACATTTCTTTAGTCACAGGTATTACTTTTATTCACTCAAAATCAATTAATTTCAGTAAGGAGAATGTCTTTGTGTCCCAAACAGTTGTTGTATGAGTGTTGGGTGATGTATTTGGTAACAGTGTCATCATACAAAGTGGGTCAGGAATACTGTATAACAGCTGGAGTCATGGCAACGCATCCCCAGGGTCTGAGTGGTCACTTGTTCACCACAGCTCTGTGTATCCTAGCAACAACTTCAGGATTAGGCAAGAGCGCAGCAGCCTGGGCCAGTTGGGGCAGCAGTGTGTAGGTGGAGGTGCGCAGGTACTGAAAGAGATCCTGGAAGCCATGGAGATGAGCAATGACCCGAGGCGGGACACCCAAAGACCGCCCCAGTCTCCTCAAAACGTTCCTGTTGTCAGCAGAGTCGAGCAGCAGGGACAAGTCTTGGACTGAGTCATAGTCGAGCATCTCGATACTCTGACCTGGAGTAAAAGCACAATCACCATTATGAACTTAGTTAGAATTAGTTCCAACAACTAAACTCATCCACAGATTGATCAACCTGCTGGGAGTATGTTATGTAAAACCCTTTACTTACTTTGGCTATGGGAAAACATACATACCTTGAGCCACTTCCCATATTGTCTGAAGTTTTTGCTCCATCTAATATTCATATAGAAAAGAAGACCGGTTTAGAAACAAGTACTACTGATTCTAACATCATTCTTACAGGAGGAATGAAAATAAATGACACGATTTATCAAGTAAAATACTTTGAAAAATGTTTTAAAATACTAAGTATTTCTGAGTTAGAGCCTCTGAAATGGGGAGATACTGTATGCGTGATTGTCTTTCTTTGATATAATTTGATTCTGTCTGTCATTATACTTCAGAATCAGTGGATCTCAAAATATGCAGCTGAAAATCAATAGTTAACTGATTGGTACTGATCAATATGTTAGAGTCAACGTCTTGTGTTTGATTCACATGTCTTACTCTTGAGCATAGTATGCCAACCCTCTCACAGAACTATGAGCTAAGATGTTCAGGATTTCTGGTATGGGTACATATTGTACCACTGTCAGCTTGAACAGGAAATGGCCTTCATGAAAACTACTGACAGTGAGGTGTGTGGATTATCTGAGACAACATTTTTGGAAAGGAACACTGCTGTTGAGTTTTGCAAATGTCATTTTCCATGCTTTGTTAACCACAGATTAATTTCCATTCATCCCACTTGTACTGGGTGATGGCTGACGTTTCGGTGGTGAAAATCTCCAAACCAACAAAACCACCAAAATCCACAGTGGGTAACTGGCATTTTTGTTATTATTTATTTATCTTTAATGTATCTATTTATTTATGATAATGGGTGAGCACAGTTCTTGTTTGTCTGTGTGCTGACAAACTGGCTACAATTACTTAAACCAGTAGTAGAATATTATACTGTTATAATTAAAAATAGTATTGTTAGAATTGTATAGAAACCATAAATTCACAGTTTTCAAAGTAAAATTATCTTGCAGTGAGTTTTCATGTGTATTTTATTTTAAGGGCAATTATATTGAAAGCAGCATGTATATTTTTCACTGACTCTGGCACTATACCAATATGATGAATTAAACCACTTTACCTCCTCCATGGAATAGCAGCTGCTTTGCAGTTCCTCCTGTGTGATGTTCTCTTCTTTCTGACCGGAGGGCTTAATGTTGGTGGTGACATTAATCACAATAGAAGTAGGATGCACCTCATTCTTATGACTCAGTGAGTTTAGGACTCTGGGTAGAGATGATATTAATGTTAATAATTACATAGGCACTGATAGAGGTGCATTTAACGTGTATTTAAGCAGTATGTAATATTTGCAAAGCACCTCAGGGGACCTTGAGTTGTCTGTGAAGGAGCCTCTGACTGTGTGGATGCTCTCTCTGTAGAACTGGACAACGGTGTGTACTGAAGGTTGTCTGCAGACAATGGTCCTTCAGGCCCAGGACAGTACTCAGGAACTTGCTCTGAACATTGCAACAAGTATTTAGTCAAGTAATCAAAAGACAGATGGGGAGAAATGTCAATTACTGATGTGTCTAACTCACTGAATCTCTCAGCAGTCAGAAGGAAAGCCCAAAGCAGCAGAGCAATAAGGAAAATCGAGGAAGCTGTTGCTGAACCAATCAGGACCATTGAAAATGTTTCTTCGTTTACTCCTGGATTAAACAGAGAGTCAGGCAATCAAATCAAATGCAAGTTGAAATTAAAAAGTTGTTCCACAGAGTTACTCACTCTTCTCTTTGGGGTCTTCGAATTTTCCTCTGGGTGCAGCGACGGCGCTCTCTGTCAGACAGAAATACAATTTTCCATGACAACATCTCTGGAAAATCACCACTCAATAAAACTATTTATACAAGTTAATTACCATTGTTCAGTCTATGGTTTATCTCTGGATCTTACCTCCTTTAGAGCCTTGAGCTGTCAAAAGCAAACACGCTTTATGGACTGTGTCATGATTGTAACAAGGCACACAGGGCAGCTCCACTTCCCCAGTCATGCTCCTGAGTTCATAATACCTGCACACAAAACCACATTTATACACTAAACTAAACACAAAAACAAACGCTAGCATGAATCAGGTGATTAGGCCAGCACAGTAGGTATATCTCACCCTGGAAGGCATTGACCACACTGGGTATTATTGGCGAGTGAGCACGCTGTCGTCTCCAGGCGGTTAAGCAGATTGCACTGGGTGCATCGCATGCAGGGAGCTACACTTGTATCTGCACTGAACGTCCCTTCTTCACACAGTATACAGACACCTTCACCACCATCTCCAAAACCACAGTCCTGAGAATGAGGCAAAATATAAACTTGGAGCCAAGTAGCAAGGCCGGTAAAGGAAATAACTCTTCTGCCACTGTAATGTCAATCATGTGTGTTACCTCTGAGAGCTGTTCTCCCGGCCCACATACAGGGCATTCAACACAAGTGCCATTAGGGTGGAAGAACTCTGTCTGATCACAGCTGGGCTCAGATTTCACCAGCTCACACCAAACCTTAGGAAAAACATATTTTAAATAGTCAGTGGTGGAAGCAATACCACACTATTAAAATACTACATTCCAAGTAAAATTCATGCCATCAAAAGCTTATTAAAGTAAAAGTACAGAGATACTATCAGCAAAATGTACATATATACAGAGGGGGAAAAAGTACACACATCCGTTAATCAAGTAGAAGTACAAATCCTTGTATAAGAAAAGAGTCCAGTAAAAGTAAAGCCTTGATTCAACTTCTTTACGCAAGTAAAAGTACAGGCCCTGAAATGTACTCAAAGTAGAAATGCAAAAAGTACTCTTTTGGTCTCTCTGAAGGACATTTCTACCAGCTGTTTTTGTGCAAATCTAACTGAAACCTTAAATAGGGTCAATGTTACATCGTTTTTTGTCATGTTACTTCTGTAATGTATGATATTCACTGGTCTTGATGCTGGAAAAACATGCAATGATGCAAAGAAAGAAAATTATATTTGATAATTCCCCTCAAGTGCAATAAAACTAAAGTAGCGACCCCAGTTTGAAAATGCAAGGAGTAGAAGGTAAAGATATTTGTGGTAAAATGGAGTAAGTAAAAAGTTGTCCATAAAATTGTCAAGTACAAGTAGAATAATGTAGTAGAGTAAGTAACGTACAGAAACAAAGTATTTGTTCCCACCTCTGTATATTTATGTTTTTTTTAACAGTTTTCTTGTCAGTGTCTTAGAACAAGTGGGAAAAAGGTGTCACTGCAGTAGTAGTGTAAGGCAGTTTGCTGAACCTGAATTATGACATAGAAAATACTTCAAACAAGTTCATACACACTAAAAATATGTTTAAGATATTCTTGAAGCACTGGCAGATTTGCATTTATTTTATTTAAAAGAAAATATAATAAAATAACCAGATTTTATTTTTTGAAAATAATCATTGTCTGGAAATAATATGTACGATGAAATAGTCAGTGTTTCAGAAATCTGTACAGAGAAAATGTTTAAAGGTCAGACCTACCATGAGCTGAACAGCATAGAGACAAACCTCCATTGGAAAAGTGTCCATGGTCCTTCTCTAAGGAGTAGAGAAACACTTCACTGCAGCCCTAAAAATAGTACGTTTTCCTGTGAACACAATTTTAAAATCTGACAACACTTACTCTGTCAAACTTTACTCACATACTGTAAAGACAGTTACACAGACCATTGATGCCAAGAAAGCAAAGAAAACCATAGAAAATCAATATAAACTTACTTGGCAATATTTAAATGCTCCATATAATTCAATAAGCAGTGTATATCTCTCATAGACTAATCACTTATTTGCAGCTTTCAGTGTGGTTTTGCCTCCCTACAAGCTACTCCTCATTCAACAGAGGTAAAGTGGTGGGAAAAATCTTTGGGAATCTCCCTCATTCTACATCACCTGTGACGCAGGAGAGGTTCCCAACCAGACTATCAATCGGTGGACCAATGAATGCGAGACTTTCATGTCTCCCCCACCTGGCCCACGTCACGTCACACCTGGTCTTCTCACATTCCCTCTGGGGAACCCGCTCGTCTTGGCTCTGGCTCCTCATACAGGGAGCAGAGGAGGAAGGAGGGGAATTTAAATGCATGAATGAGACCCTTGTTAAAGAATGTGATTCCAACAAAGAGACTTTGTGTGTGAGTGTGTTTGCAGGCTGGAATGACATCTTAAATACTACAACCATAATTGTTTTGTTAAAGGTCCTGACTCCACTGACGAGGGGCATGCTGAAGGTGAGACCACTGTGGGAATCATAAAAGAGCTCCTAAACTGAGCAGGACAGAAACCAGTTGTAATGTACTGTTTGACCAGTTAGTGGTAGTATGGAGCCATGAAACACAAAACATTTCACCACCCTGACAGAATGTTATGGGTATGGAAAAAGAGGAGCCATTTATATAATTTGGTTGTTTAAATAGTTACGGCTTTAAAAAGAAGACTGACTTTAAGGTCTGTACAGCTGAGATCAAGACAGACATGGCCTTTATACGTCACATAGAAAAGCCAATTAGATTTGTTTGAGCAGTTATCACTTGAGGATAATTGTAAAGTACACGAGTAGTACAAGAATATTACTTTGAGTGTTTGCAGAAAATTTACGATGGCGGCAACCTGACGTATAGAACACACATGTGTCTAACATACACACAAACCTGTTGTTGCAGTCATACCCATGAGCATATGTAACCTAAACATTCTTTTTGGTCATATCCAGCATTTGTACATGCGACTGTAACCTATGCAGATGATGTTTTATGTTTATATCTGAAATAATGACTTTTTTCCTTTTTTTCTTTTAGCTTCCATGACCATGAATGTCAATTTATGTGACGATTCTCAGAAATAGCCATCTGTGTAGAGACAGTTTAGGTAAGGACGCTTACGTAACAAACCCTAAATAGGAAACCTGCTATTTTGATAATGTCTGTGTCATCAACATCTACAAAGACATGGGTGTGTCTCAACATCCTGCAGTCTTTCTTTACAGTAAACTTTAAGCCTCCGTGAAATAAATATTACCATTCAAACTCCCACTGAGCCGCTGGAACTCTAACACTAAAGCCAGGTGCTTCATACTTAACACAAAGGACTTAAATGTGTTAATGGGATAATTTTGAGATTCACTTTTGCAAAGTTTTTATCAAGTCATGGGTTTCATGTTATCATGCATGTTAGTTATGTTTATTGCCTGTGATTAATGAGTAACTCAGGGAACTAAAGGGAGAGGGCGTGGAGGTTTTCTTATAGCGAAAATAGAGTGACGCTTGCCAGCAGACTCATTGCTCCACCAGCTTCTAGTGAGCTGGTATTGATTGCCTAATTTCTCACAAAACAGCTTAGACCTTTTCAAAAAGATGACCTTGGTAAGTGTCAGTTTTGTATTTAGACACATAGAATTAAGTAAATAATCAATGTATTATTTTTTCAAGGTAAATGCACATAAAAAAATCGTTTATCTTACCGTCGCCTTTCAGCAGATGAACACTTGACTGGCATTGAAGGTCCTGTGTTTTTGTTTGCTGTCATGGAGTCCGTCAGAAGCCTGTCTTCGCTAACCATCTGTCTGTGTATACAGCTGTCAGTGTGTCTTCTGGATTCAAGTAAGATTTCAGATAAATTAAATGATTTTAAATTCCATGTGAAGTGTCTACTGACTAGCACTTAAATTGTCTTGTTTTTTTTTTTATTGTGTTTATGTTTAGTTTTTCCCCTATTTTGGACAATTGAGTTCTCAAGTGAACTGAAAGAAACTCAGAATAATGAATTGTTTTGATGGCATACTGTACATTCTTTTAACATCTTTATGGTTAATAAACTGTATAGCTTATTTTTTCATCTACCTGTGTCTTTTCTGCCTATGTATTGTTTCAGCTGCCTCAGACAGCACCAGCTTGTGGGGTAAGAAGATACAGCTCAGGGGTCACCAGTATGTGTGGCAGCTACATCCAGATGCTGTGGTACCAACCCTTAAAGAGCTGAGTGTATGTGAGCTTCTACGCCTCAACTATGGAACCGAATGGACTGGTTTTGTCTACAAAGCACCGATGGAAAGACACATAGCACTGGGATTTGGGGGCAAAAGTACACATCTGGCTGTATGGCTGTTTGGTGAAGAACATCGCTTGGAATGGAAACTGAGTTTGAATGAATGGCACTCTGTCTGTCTCACCTGGTCGGGCCAAGCACGGAGGCTGCGGATCTACATAAATGGAACCAGCCAGCACGAGTTCTTTGTGAAACCCATCCTGCCCCAGAAACTGGCCCCAAACGGCACTCTCACTCTGGGGGTGTCTCATTATGTAGACGCATCTGGTAAAGTACAGTCGGAGAGTGGGAAAAATCTGCTTGGTGAGATTGGTCTGTTCAGGATGTGGGCCAGAGAATGGACAGCGGAGGAGCTGAGGGAGCAAAGCTGTGCAGATGGAGACGTGGTGAGCTGGGACATGAAGCAGTGGCAATGCAACTGCCCTGCCCCTGAGCCTGACAACAACCTACATTGTGGTAAATACAGTATGACCTTTCAAAAAAATTAATTACTCCCAAAGTTTCTTCACCTTTTCACAAAACAAGGCAATGTGCTGTAGGTGAGTTCAATGAGTGGGCTTTACTGTTCAGTAAATATGGTTTAAGTTAAAAAAAAAAGGTAAATCACACAGTCCAGAACCTGTTGATAGGTATAACATTTTACCTATTATAAAGTCATTTTCTTTGCTTATTTCTTTTTTAGCATGGCCACTCTACAAAATCAAAATGAAGACATTCATAGTTCACTCTATTTGGCCCGAAAATTGTTCACTGTCGCTGGAGGAAGTCACAAGAAACTGGGTACGAAGAATATGTGAATACGTCAATGGACTTTAAACAGTCATACTGTTTTTTCCTATCAAAATAATCTTTGTTTACCTTTGTTGTCTTCTCTTATCAGTTGGAGAGTGTTTTTCCTCTCAACATTTCTGTCCATGACATCTTTGTGTCAACCCCAAGGTAATACAACTTTTGTTAGCAAACCTCTCTACTATTCAGATACTATACTTTGGTAAAAGTAAAAGTCTTGCTTTGGCAATATAAAAGTACTCAGTGAGTAAAAGTAAATGTAGTCAAGAAGTGAGTGTTATGCTATTATGCATTATATTGGTTGAGGTGGAGATATTTAATATACTGTTGGATAATTTGAGCTATAACGGTTCATTATATTTTATATATGTTAAGTAACAAAAGTACATGTGGACTGTGATCCTGGTCATGGACAACATTCCTGTCTGTAATTTCTGTTATCTGTGTTCCCATACAGCCGTACCTGCCATGTGGTTAATAATTCTGCTGCTCTACATGTGCAACAACCTCAGGTACACCACTATTAGTACTCTGTTTGATTTTCCAGAAAGAAGCAGCAATATCCTCAAAGACCAGCTGATTAGAGAACAGAGATTTTAGACTGAGACAATATTGTTTTCCGAGGAAATCAATAATGTACGTGAGCACTGAGGTCAGGCATGGTGTAAGTAAGTGAAATCATACAACCTTTTAATAAAAATGTGATTTCGATGTGTTTTCAGGGATCAACAGCATTTTCAAACACCACCTGTGACAATTGGTAAGATGAATTTAAGACTCATAAGAAACTTTATGACACAAGATGCATGGAACAACCCAGACCTCAGTACAATGCACTTTACATGCAGATATAATTCTTTTCATTATGATTAATCCCCAGTTTCGACTGTGAAGTCTATGTGAGCGTGGATCCTTCTGCTAATGTAGAAGTTGTTCAGGGGAACATTGCTGCCTTGCTGAGTTTGACCTTCTCTTACGACTTCCTCAACCTGACAGCAAATAGCATCAGCATACTACCTGTGGGTACGTATATTCTGTACAGTACACATTTTACAACCACTATTACAGTCTTAAAAACGGATGTATGTTCACATGACGTGTGTGTCACACGAAGTTGACCTTTTTCATCGGGAGTTTATTTACATACATAATTGTATGATATTTGTTCAGTTCTTGTATTTCATAGACACAAAGCAGACTCTGGAAAAAACACATTTACATGAACATATGCATTAAAGTGATTATATTTACTGTGCACTTTCACTGCGATTGTTAAGTGGCTGAATTAAAAGCATGCTGTGGATACACTAATAAAAATGGGTGAGGAGCACATTTCTGTGTTTCTAAAAATACCTAATAGATCACTGTAAATTTGTGACTATTATAATTGACTTTTCCATTATTTGATTTGACATCATGCTATTTTTAATTGTAATTTTTCTTTCTCTCTTTGTAATAAATGTTTCATTTTGTTTCTTTCAGAGTTATTCCCTGCAGTGTCCGAGCCCGCCCCAACAGGCAGCACTGATGTAACTACATCCGGTGAGCATGCAAGAAAGAATTAAACAATGTCCATGAGTAGTACTGGTGCTTTGCAGCCACATGGAATCATGAAGCCTTTGGCAAACTGGTTCATCTATAATGATATAACAATTTCATTTTTTAAAACTATGTCTCTTTGTGCTGTTATATTTTCCTGTAAATTGTGTAATTTAATCCACAGAAACTGGTCCAACTCAAAGTCTGCCAGTTCAGCCTACTAACATGTCAACGACAGAAGAGCCTTTAGATCTCAACGAGACTGCCGGTCAGTTTACTAAACATCTCAGATAAATCATTGTTCATCTTCATTCTTGTTTCTTCTTCATATCAGCTCAGTTCTTAGTTGTCCTACAAGAGAAAAAAATAGCTTGAAGGCAGCAAACATAAAAACATTAGCAATAAAAAGCACAGTATGGTAGTTGTAGACATGGTACACACGAAAACAGCAGTGTATTGTACTGTTTCCATTTTATGCTTTATACTTCTGCTCCACTATATCTCAGAGGCATATATTGTAATTGTACTCATCTCTATTTGTCTGACAGCTTTAGTTTTCAGCACCTCCTGTCCAGTAAAAACCATCTACCTCCAAATTTGGTGATTTAGAATCAAAATCTGTCTTCATCATTGTTGCCTGAAAACGGGGCTGTTTTTCTAAGCTTATGAAAAGTTGACTTTTTAGAGATAGGTGGTTCTTACAAGACAGCGACACTACAACCATATGATGATCTTATAGAATATGATGCATTGCTGTATAGATTAAACTATCCAGCAGTTTATAAAGTAGTTGAATGAGCTAAATTAAGAGCGTTTAATAAACCTGAATCCTTGACCAGAGAAATTCCTTTAAGACAGGACGGTCTGGATTTACTACGATGGATAACACCATCAGTTCTGTGTCAACCAAAGCGTAACTTACAGTCTTTGTTGCCCTTTGTTGCATATAACTGTGTTCACATCAAAGCTCAATTTCTTGTCATTATAAGTACAAAGGTAATTATAGGTTACAATCTCCACCTCATGCCCTTTAACAAAGGTCTTAGAGGGTGGAAGTGATGTTTTTTCTAAAGTCAATTACCATATCTATGGTTTTAGAAATGTTCAGTCTCAGAAAGTGATTGTCACACCTACAATATCACTGCCCACAGGCACATTTGATGGATTATTTCCATTTCTGCTAATTAAAGAATGTCCGTCCATGTAGTGACTTTTCCAGTCACAATAGTGGGGACAGGACATATCTGTGTACGGAGCCTGTGGGGCATAAATGAAGCTTACACTGAACACCATGTTTTTGTTCTCCTACAAAATGTTTAACATTTGACAATTTGATTCTGAATTCCTTTCTGAACAGTCAGAATAGTGTTAAAACACACGTGTAATGACGCACTGCTATGTTATGTTGTTTCATTCCTGCAGTTGGACCTGATATATTCTTCAGAGTTAATATGACCTTAAGTATGACTGGCAGCCCTACAAAACCACATGATATTATTGAGAAATGGGTAAGAGACTCACAGAATTGCACTTGAAAGCTGTCTTTAGTTAAAAGATATGTGAACATAGTTATTCTCTTCGGGCAAAAGGTGAAAGAACAGCTGGAGGTGAATGACACTATGACTGTACTGAATCTCGTCATAAAGGAGGATGTTGGCAGGTGGGTCCCATTGAATTTGTGGTTTTCTCTGTTCGTCATACGAAAGCTTTGGTTGACTTATTATTCATCTTATTTTTAATAGGAACATGGAGCAGTACAATGGACAGATGGTGAGTGTGCACTTCATTTAATAACAAGACAAATATTTTTTTCATAATTGGGTTATTGAAGTTTAATCCTAGGAATAATTACTCATACTCCTGTAATAATTGATTTTTACAATGCAACATCTCTTTGTTTCATTTCTTTTAGATTTCCCATGGCCAACAAAAACAGTAGGAGACTAAAGAAAAGATCATAACAAAGCTGAAAAACTACCTGTGCTGCTGTTTTCTACTGTAACACAGCTTGATTCATATTGAATTCAGAATTTACTTACTGTGGTTCAAATGAATGTTGTTGTTACCCCTAATTGTGTGTTTCAGATATTACTGTACCTTCCATGTTCAGGACTACAGCATGTACGGTGTGGCAGACAGTAAAACCTTTATTATTGCCGTCTTGACGTCAAAGTATGAAAATGACTCCATCTCTATTCAGACTATGGATGTGGTGATCAAGCACATAAGTAAGTTGGATTTTGTGCCACAGATAAAAAGAGAAAGATGTGTATAAAATAAGATTTGGCAACATGTATATGTTTTTTCTTGTAGTGCCAGAAAACTGTTTAGAAGAAGCTACTTCAACAATCTATGGACAATATATTTGGCCTGAAGCATTTCCACAAGTCGACCAAGAAATGATATGCAAAAAGCCAAAATCAGAGAGAGCCTACAGGCTTTGGTAAGACATTAACTTCAATTTATCCAGTGGGTTTATATTTGTCCAGAGATGATGATGTCAGATTGCAAGATTATGACGTAAAACACATGCCAATAATCAGTAAAAACACTGAGTAAATCAGCAAGATGCTCGTGCTGTACAAAATGATTTGCTTTATTTTATTGAACGACATTACACAGCAGCATATTATATAATGTCTCTCACACAGCAATGAAGCACATATTGGACTTTCGGTTAAGAGTGTAATAATACTCAAGGGTTTATTCACACCAGCCTGAGTCATCTGAACCATCTTGGTAAACATGGTGAGAAAGTGGGGATTTTCTTGTATATTGCTCTATTTACTGATATAGATCCTGTTTATTTTTGTCTCAACAATCTGTTTCCATAGAGACAGCTCAGCAAGACACGAAAATTCCCCCAATTACAATGTCCAATCCTCCCACTCTGCACATAAGCTTTGACCACGCGCGTAATGTGGAGAGATCCCTGCCAGCCTGCAGCTCAGGCAAAAATCAATTTCCTATAAGTGAATTATTAGTGCAATGAAGGGCTTCAATCTTCCTCGCATCATCTCTGCCAAAACTGATATAAATCTCACTCAAGGGAAGGGACAATGGCTGGGCAATATGGGTAATCAGTTTTATGGTCTTTGCGAGGATGCTTATTAAGACTAAACACAATCATCAAGTGTGAACAGGTGTCTTTTACATTTTTTATCACCCTTTGTCTGAAATTGACAATGATCCTACTAGCTCAGGACCAAGCTACAGTGTGCCTTGTCAAGTTTAAGTACCACAAAGAATATGTATGAGTATATCATATATGTTTCCTCTGATTCTCTTCTCTCTTCAGTAAGTTAGATATTGAAACTGACTCCACCAGCTGGTCTCCTCCCAATATGACAAATTGCATCCCGCTTGTGACCATATCAGGCCTCAACAATATCACTGTCACTACTGGTAAGAGGATCAGTCCCACACATACTCACAGTCTTGGTTCTATCTCAATAAAATCACAACAGAAAGATGTGGCAAAATACAACAAAAAGCTTTAATAACTTATTGATGTTTTAGATAACGCGGCTAAGGTTGTGGACACGATTCAGGACCTTGTAGATGTTCAGTTAGGTAGCAATAAGGAGCTCTCTCCCTCGGATCTGGATATTGTGGTGGATAAGCTCGGCGAAGTGGTTGATATCAGCATCGTCAAACCTGCTGTTGGTGCCAACATTATCAATATTGTCGCTGACATTCTGCTTTCCAAAACTGACATCACTACGGTGGCTAACATGTAAGTGGAGAGGGAAGAGGGTGTTTGGGTAATTTACATTCAAAATCGTATTTTCTTGTTAATCCACGATTCTTTCGTTTTTGGAAAAAGTGTCCTTAATCTGACAGAGAAAATGGGGAACAATATGGATTTCCAAGGTAAATCTGTCAGTTTAACAGCACCTTCGCTGGCCATGTCCATGGTCAACACAGATCCAGAGGAGTTCAATGGCCTCACTTTTGGTGTGTCCTCCATTTCTCCAAATATGAACCCAAAGGTGAGACATTATAAATGCTATAATATGCATAAAGGGGGCAGCAAATTTTACTTATGAGTTGTTTTTGTGTACTGCAAAAGTGAGATATCCACAAGCAAAAGAAACTCCCATTTTCCACTCAAGGACAATTTCTGTTGCGATAATGTCCTTGAGCCACCAGGAAATGCAGGAACTAGTTTTAATAAACAAACATAATGGCCTCAAGCAGTCATGGCACATTAAACTTTAGCTAGAAAAAAAACAACTTACAAGAACTGACAGAACATGGAGAAATACTCCATGATCCATGAAGATGGATTACCACTGGGATTCAGTGTCATTATTACTTTTGTTTGGTTTTTTTTCCAGATTTTTCTCAACCAGAGCTTTGTGAGTCAACCATTCCCTGACACAATAGCAACTATCTCTTTGCCCTCTGCAATCCACAACTTTTTCCTTCCCGGACAAGGAAATAAAACTCGTGTCCAGTTTCATTTTTACGGAAAACAAGAACTTTTTCAGGTATTTTCATTGGAGTCTTTTCTTGTTACTATTTGTCATCTTGTTTTTTCTTTTCTTCTTTTCTTTCATTGTTCTTATTGCAGTTTCCCCTTCTCTTCTGTGTGCAGTTGTAACTTTTTTAAAGGAATAGTTCAACATTTTTTTAAATGAGCTTATTTGCTCTCTTGCAAATAAGTTAAATGAGAATATTTATCCCACAGACATCATGTTTGTGGGATAAATATGAAGCTACAGTCAGCATTAAAACTGTAAACAGGGGACAACAGCTAGCTGTTTCCAGTCTTTATGCTGAGCTAAGCTAACTAACTGCTTACAGTTGTGTAGCTTCATATTTACTGTACAAACATGAGAGTTTTATTAATCACCCCATCTATCTCTTGGCAAAAAAACAAATAATTATATTCCCACTATGTCAATAATCCGTAGTTTAAACAAGATAAATTTGCTCTCTTTCACTGTAGCATATTTTATTGACCAGAGACCTTAATTAAACTTTGCTACTATCAATGCTGTGATTTCTTGTCCTGCCTTACATGTTAATGTGACAACTATTTTATTTTTAACAGGACCCACTCACAACCAATACAACACAAAACAGCTGGAGATTGAATTCCTGTATAGTATCTGCCAGCATCAATAACAGCCATGTCAGCAACCTAAAAGATCGAGTGGTTGTGACCCTCAGACATCAAACACCCAAACATGTGAGAAATGAATGCATCCAGTTCATCAGTAAGACAAAGGCTTTTATATTTGACTCTAAAACAATCATCACTTCCCGTTTTTTTTACAGCCAGAAGACACGGTTCAGTGCATGTTTTGGGATTTCCTTAAAAACGGTGAGTTGGTCATTATTTATTATATCTTGTATGTTAACAGTTGGATTTATATGATTTAGAAATGTCTGACTCTCGTAGCACTTTTAGGGAACCAGTGAGATCAATAAAGGTCCTTAATTGCAGGAAGTTGTGTGTCGGTTGATAAGCAGCTTTAATGAAATGTTGTGTGTGTGTGGGTGTCAGGTGGGCAGGGCGGTTGGAACAGCAGAGGTTGTGAAACCTGGAGTATTTCTTCTTATCAGACCAGCTGTCTCTGTGATCACCTCACGCATTTTGCTGTGCTCATGGTGAGTCATTTTTGTCTGCTTTTTATAAATCAAACCAAGGAGCAAACAGCTCCCACAAGCACCAACATACTGTGTTCAGTCTGGCCAGTTGCTGACTGTTTGCATATATTTCTGCCAATTACGCACAATGTTAAAACCAGTGTGTAATGTTTTTATCATTAACATTATTTTTCAAATAATTGTGATAGGATGAGCTGCTTACCATAGTATCTATTTTGATACTACCACTAGGGGTAGTAAAAGAAAATGTTGGAAATGTTAAAATTCTACACTTACTGGCCTTAAATATAAGTTAATAATATATTTTATTCTGTTTATATTGTGTTTCAGGATGTATCCAGAGTCCCTATCAGTGACACTGACAATCAGATCCTGACAGTGATCTCATATTTTGGTTGTGGTATATCATCTGTTTTTCTGGGCATCACTCTTCTCACATATCTAGCTTTTGAGTAAGTCACTTGAAGGAATTGCATGAGCTGCATTAGCTGCATTGCTGGGTCACAACAATTTTAAGCATGAACATTAAGTCTTGACTTTGGAAATTGCAGTTAAACAAAACAATCCTAACTCAAAATTATTTTCCTGGAGTTTTTAAACGTAGGATATTTTCAGCAAAAGTGGGACACTTTTTGGCAAATGCACTGGGACAATATTAAATATTCACTCACACCAGTTCTGTTTTTGTGAAATGGGGCAACCCTCCCCAGATTTTGACACAGTTTAACACTCCAAAAAAAGCTACTAAGTACCCCCTGAGTAAGAATGTCTTTGTCACCAAAGTACTACATGTTTTACTCTAGGATTTCATTATCAATCAAAAACTGTACATAGTGATAATTTTCCAATTTGAACTCATGTGTAACATCATAAAATCCAAAGGCCTCTAACAAATTCTCAGACTTCCTGTTCCTGAGTTGCTCACTGTGTTTGCCTGTAACTCTCACACACTTTAGGAAGCTGCGTCGAGATTACCCGTCTAAGATACTCATGAACCTATCAGCTGCCCTGCTGGGGTTGAGCATGTTCTTCCTTCTCGACTCCTGGCTTGCATCCTTTTCCAACTACGGTCTGTGCATTGCCACTGCTGCGACATTGCACTACTTCCTGTTGGCTTCTTTCACCTGGATGGGCCTGGAGGCCTTGCATATGTATTTTGCATTGGTCAAGGTCTTCAACACCTACGTTCCTTCCTACATCCTCAAGTTCTGTGCTGTTGGATGGGGTAAGGCAGAACTTTAAGTGGTCCTCACTGTTGTAGAAAAAAGTCCAGTTGGCTTTAATTGGCTGATAGGGTTCAGGAATGGATTTTGATTGGTAGGGGTTGAGCTGGGAGGTGAGTCGGCTACACTTTATTTTATGGGGCCATAATTTTTGAATAATTTCCTGGAAATAACTATGTAATTTGGAATTAATAATAGGGAAAATGAATTGAGATTGCCCTTGAAATAAAATATAAATTTAGACCCAATAAAATGTTTATTCATTGTATTTATAATTATAAACTGTATATGTTGATTGTATTATTGCCTGTAGACAAATTTTACATTCAACTTCCCTGCATGTTCATTTAAACTACAAGAGCTCTGGGTTGTACTCTCAATTAGTTTGAATCTTACTGACAAAGTGTGTCTGTGGAACAATACCTTTGTTTATCTATGATTAGTGCTAAATGCTATTGTTCTTTCAAGGATAAGAAATAAGAGAGAGAGATAATAATTACCCATAAAATAAAGCTTTAATGGTGAGATATAATAATAGCAAGGACTTTTGGAGTGTCGGGAATCAGCTATTTAAAATAAATGTATTAATTATTACACAGCACAAAATGCAAAGAAGACTGAAAATAATGCTCAAAATTTTGGAATCTTGTTTTCTTTTTCATCACAAATAAATTCTCAACTCTAACGATTTTATTCTTTGTCACAATGTGAGCATATGGTTAGCTGACTCTGAGCTGAGTCAGCAGAAGGTAAATTAAGATTTAATTTGTGTTCTCACAGGTGTTCCTCTGGTCATAGTCAGTCTGGTGCTGGCCATAGATAAAGATGCCTATGGCAGTGCTGAGCCTGAAGAATCTGCGGTGGTGCTTCAGTCCACTGACCAATTGTAAGTACAAGCTCTGGGTGAGTCATTTCTATCTCGGGAACATCATCAAATTGTCTGATAGAAATTGTGAGATTAACACTCAGCACTGCGTCAAACAAAAATAAATGTAGTTGATGGCATTATCATAAACTCAGCGTGTATTACATGATGACCAGCCCTTTCCCTCCTTCCAGCTGTTGGGTGCAGGATGACGTCGTCTTCTATGTGACGGTGATGGCGTTTGTTCTTCTGATCCTGTTGTGCAACATCTCTGTGTTCATCGTGGTTCTCATCCAGATCAAAAAGATGAGGGCCAATAAACCATCAGCAAACAGCCACAGGTCTCTGCAGGACTTGAGGGCAGTCGCCAGTCTCACCGTCCTGTTAGGCCTGACGTGGGCAATGGGCTTTTTTTCATTCGGGCCAGGCAGACTGGTCATGCTGTACCTGTTCTCCATCTTCAACTCTTTGCAGGGTAAATAAGAGCTGTAGCTGGTGTTGCTGCTGGGTAGATATTACTTACAGACGAGCGGGTAATTTAGTGTTAATTTGTGTAGTTTATCTGGTTTTAAAACGATTTTATCATCTTTGTGATAGAGTTTCCTTGATTTACAGAGAAGCATGTAATGATGAGGTTTTCTTTCAACACAAATGTGAGGAAAATGGGACATTTAAGAGTGTTGTTAAAGATAATTATAGAAAACTATAAAATAAAAGCACTAAGATAAATAGAAAAAAACACAAAAACACTTCTATGTCTATATCATATTATAGAAAAACAATTTCAGGTACAGAATGAGTGTGTCTACTATCTCTGCTCTTTTTTCCTAGGGTTCTTCGTTTTTTTATTCCACTGTTTGATGAAGGAAAATGTGAGGAAACAGTGGAGAATCTACTTGTGCTGTGGACGTTTCAGACTCAGTGATTACTCAGGTACCTATTATAAAACAAAGCAATGCTTGGAGGACATATTGCAGTATAATAAAAATAATTTCAGTCTCTGATCCATTGTTTTCTCTTCCTTTTCTCCCGTGCTCAGACTGGAGCCGCAGTGTGACAGTGGGCGATCACCACAAAAAGAATAACCTTGTTAACTGTGACTCAGTCGCTTCTGCCAGCACCTCCACCATCAGGAAGGTGTCTGACTCCTCCACAGGGTCAGCACCTAACCACCACCAGGGGGCGTGAGCAGGCCTCTGGATGTGACATTTTGTACAGCTCTCCCTCTCAAGGTCCATTGTTCACAAACACTGAGAGCAGAACATAGAACAGCTGTTGTGGATATGGGAAGACCACATTTTCAGGGAGATACAATGGGTCTGTCTTGCAATTAAAAGTAAAGTAAAGAAGCCTGTTCTGAAAAGTGCATATTTTATGCTAGCAGACCTTATTTAAAAGCCTAAAAGCCTTCAATCTACAGTTCACCTTAAAGGTTTACATGACTGCTTTCAGTGTTGAATGATTCATCCTTGAAAAAAGGAAGATTCTGTGTCTGTAAAACTTTTAATGGTACATAAGTGAATGTAATGTTGCACAGGAAGTAAGGGTTTTCTATTTAAATGCGCTGGAAAGTACAATCTGTAACCAACTGTTTTCAAGTACATTACATGAGAAGATTGTACTGCTCATGATGTTTCCTTTAAAGACATCTATCTTTAATTTCAATGATAATAAAATATTCATGTAAGTTTTGTTGAAACGTATAAATGTATATTCATATGATCTTGGCATTGCTCTCTCTCAAATAAAGTGTTAACACAAATAACTACAGTATAAGACCACCACACTGGTTGTCTCATTATACTTTAATTTTTGTAATTTTTCAAAGATAAAATTGTGGCAGATGTCAGCCAAAGGCACTCTTCTTCGCAACACATTTCTGTTGCATCTGTTAAATCTGTTATCATTACATGAGTATAAAAAAAGAGAGCATGTACTCATCGAAACAAATAGGGTTCAATGCTGAGTTATTGCAGTGGGACCAAGGAAAACCCATGAAAGTCATGGGTTCTTCAGATATGGTAGTTGATTTAAAAACGAATAACTACTTTGTACTATGTAGCATGTTAATTTAACTGCTTCTGCTGTTTAACTTTGTGGCTGTGTGAGTGAGGAATGTCTTAATAACATGTCATTCACGCTAAGGAGGAACTGGCTGGATGGCATTCTGTTCATAGCTGTCTGCATTCATAAAGCATCACACGCCCTCCCACATCAGGTAAATTTAGAGGCTCAGTGAGCAAAATGTTTTGTCTGTAGAGGAGAGGAAAGACACCCAACTATGGTTCTTCGAGTCTAACCGATGACTCTGATGTTGTCTAAGCTCAAGCCAAGGGACGTTTTTTCCAACAACTTTGGCTGCTGCTCATGTAGGTGAATGCATTAGCTTTGATCAAGCAGTCAATGCAAGGACACAGTCCCTGGTCATCTTTGGTCAATCATCCGGTCAGGTAAGAGAAGCAAGTTCCTTCAAATACAAGCTGACACATTGGTTTGGTTCTTTATTCATGAACAGGGTTGGGAGTTCAATTAAGTTATACGTAAGTTTTTGTATATCTGCACTATGGGGTGGATGTAATCTGAGTATTTAAACTTCACTCAGTCGGTTACAGTTTCTCCTAAATTAGGACACAGTCATCATGCTTTCAGCCCACCACATTTACAATGCAATCCTGTAGTGCAAACCCACACAGTATAGTTCTTATTATGTTAAATATCCAACCACAATGCCCAAATTACACAGTGAATACTGGCATTTCTTAGAAGTGATCCTTAGTAAATGTATTGTGCATCATCACCTAATTTCCATGCACTGTGAGTAAAACATGTTAGATTTTCTGAGCCATAGAATTTGCAAAGTGAAAGGTGTAGTGTACAGTCCTCCTGTTTCTTCAGATAACCAGATAAGGAAGGAATCTGCTCCACTGAAGAAGAGTTTAGTTTAGTTAGATTTTAAGTCACTTTTTTTTAAAACAGACCAGGTGGTAAGTTAACACATCCTAAAGTGAAAAGTATATTAAGTATCTGAAAGGTGAATGTAAGTTGAGAGAAAATGACTCACTTAACAACATCATCCAATAAAAACTGTATGCAAAGAAAGACCAACAGACAATGTGCACTGCTACATTATGGACTAAGTTGTCGCTTGTGTGACTGTAAAATTATAATTCATGACTAAGTACATAAGATACCAGTATAGTCTAAAGTGAGCATTTTCTAATAATGATAATTTAATAATTTTGTCTCTGGTTTCAGTCACAGCTGACCCATGGAGGACAGAACAGATAATCCGATGGCTGTGAAGGTAGAGAAACATTCTCAGTGTGTCATCCTGACTTACTTCCATGGAGACATCAACAGCATGGTGGATGCTCACTTCAACCGTGCTCTCAGCAAACCCTGCAAGGCCAAGGCGCCATCAGCAAAGACAAAGAAAATACGTAAAATGATAAAAATGGGTGAGCAAGCACACAAAACCAACAGTGTATGGCCTTCCTGACTACAGACAGGACAATCGATCCCATTCACACTGCATGTTTATTTTTCTCTATCCCCACAGAGGACAACATCCCCTGTCATGGGAGAGCTGTTGACCCTTACTCTGAGACACAGGTCCCTCCTGTAGCAGGACGCCTCATGCCCTTCAGCCCTGCAGACGATGCTCCTGATGGGTGGCACTCGTTCACTGCAAGGACAGGAGAGGGCCCAGGGCTGCCGTCCATTCCGTACTCCCTGTCCTCAGAAGGGCTGAGTCGTACGGGACAGGAATACGCTACATCCCTGCTCAACCTACTGCATAATGAGCGAGGTGAGATGGGACCCAGCATAGCCTCCAGCTCCAAGCCAGAACTGCTTTCCAGCTGGGCGATGCCACAAGGATTTAGAGAGTCTGTGGATCCTAATGGGGGCTTTGAACCTGGTAAGACTTTAGCTGCACTATAATATATTTAAAAATGTCTTCAAACCAATAAAATGAAAACAACTCTTAGATTAGTTAGATGAATGGATAACGAGTTATGGGGACCACTACACAACCTGTAAAACACCTTAAGCTGTGTCTGTTTTGCCTGTGAAGGAACTTTCCAAAGTCTGAGTCTGTTGTCATCACACCTTGGATTGGAGAATTCAAACTATTAACAAAATGCCTGAGTAATAAACTAGGTGTGTGGAGGTTAAAAGACACACTGAGTTGCATTATGGGAAGAGTTTTTGGTTCTTTACACATAGTAGGTACTAAAAATAGAGACATCTTGGCCTCTACTGCATAGGTGAAAAGGTGAAACTAAATTCCTGGTGTACTGCTTAAACTCTTACCCATCTGCTAAATGGCACATCATCAAGTGCCAACTGAGTTTTTAATGGAATGGTTATATGGTTATAATCATGATGTATTCTTAGAAACAATTTTGAATGATGTACAACTTAAGCGAGTAATTGTGTTCTCTTTTGCCCCTGATTTAGAGTTAGTCAGGAATGATTAATTAAGAAAGTAGTCATATGCAGGTTTTTCACATACATTGCACTATAGACAACCCATCATTATCCAGCCCTATTTAAAGAATTTGTTAGGGATTTGTTAATTACCAGTTAGTTCCTGATGTCCTTACTCGTTTCTTAGCAACCATTTAGGAATTTGTGCATTATTGCTATTATTGAAATGTTAGTGTAATTAATTATTAATTTTACCCGGCATGCTTGATTACAAACTTGTTCATATACATCCATTAGTGCTGCTTAGAAGTAATTTTGTCTTCTCTCTGTCAGGACACCGTCTGGACAAGAAGGACTTGTACTGGTATTGAACAGAAAGCGCCTGGTGCAGCAGAGGCAGAGAACAACCAACATACCTGTGGCTCTGTAAAGCCACCAGGCTTTCTGTTCACTCCAGTAGCCTTCAGATATTTTTTCTCGTCAAACAGGCCTGACTGTCACCTGAGAGTACACACACGGAAGAAACAGCATCGCATCCATTCCCTGCTGCGCTCTTTCCATTTCTCAGTAAAATGACCTCAGCACTTCAGTATGTATTCACTTGAACAAACTTCTTCTGAAACGGGACATTCTTTGACAAACCTGTTCTTCAACTCTGTCACTCTTCTTGTAGATCTCAGAGCACTGTATATGTTGTTGCTCTCTTTGCGGTGGAGTTGGAAGAAGGGCTTTTATCAGGCATTCTCTTAGTGGGCCTACACCAGTACATAGACCAGTATTAAGTTAAAATATAAACATTGTGAGCCTCTTGAGTGTGTAAATATTAATGTTAATATCTGTCCACAGTTCACCTTGATGAGTTTTACTTGCTATGAGACTATTTTATATATCAAAATGAACAAAAACATGAAGGATAGTGATGTTGTTGTGACTTGTTTTCTTAGTGTAATCTTAAACTTACAGTATATCAGGGGGTGTCATGAACTATACAAAAATCTAATCATATACAAACTTAAATAAATATCTGAGCAGACGAATACAAAATCTCTCAATTTGATCACAGATAGCTATTTACCATAATGTGAAATACATCAAAAACCATATTTTATATATGCATTAGGCAAACAGCACAACATGATAATATATATATAACACCTAATGATGTACTGCATATAAAAAATACATAAAAGATATATGATATGTGTTTCTAAGTACATTTACTCAAGTACTGAACTTAAATACAATTTTGACATACTTGTACTTTTTCACTTATTTAATTTATTTCCATTTAATTAAACTTTATACATCTACTCTATGTTTCAGACGGGAAATGTTGTACAGTTTACTTCACTGCATGTATCTGACAGCTATAGTTAGGCCTACTGGTTACTTTTCAGATTCATATTTAAAAATGTTTGTACTTAATGTACTTTTACTTAAATGTACTACACGGAGTTTTTAACTGGTTATGAAACAGTCTCAGTGTAATATTGATGTATATATATATGAGCAACATAAACAAACAAGACCATGAATGAGAAGATTGGTTATTTCTATATAGTTATTTTTAATTACTTACTTACTCAATTTTTTCAAGTCAAATTCTGAATGGTGGACTTTTACTTGTATCTTTATAGTGTGGTATTGCTACTTTTACTTCTAATAATTTGAATACTTTTTCCACCACTGCATATGATTTATCTTTATGTTTCAATATTGTGGAAACTCAATGTGTTCAATATTTAATAAATAAAGGAGACATCATGAAAAGAATATATATGAATAGATACATACATGGTCTGAATAAACAGATGGGCCATCATATACTGTAAGCGGTGTAATGCTCTGTTTGTCTTGGATGGCAGAAAAAAACTTAATTAAAAATGGCATTGCGGAATAAAAATTTTCAAGTCATGGTCGTCATGGTTACGCTATATATTTAGTCTCTATTTATTTATTCCTATGAGTACTCATGTCCTACATTTTTTTCAGTGTTGATCACTTTGTGTTGATCTTTTTAATTGACATTTTTTCCACAATGTAGTTGAATAGTGATCTGCTAGTCTATAGAGCTATTCACAGACTCAGAATGTAAATTCTTGAAAGGACAATTTTATCAGTAGAAAGTGTCACACTGGGTCGAGCTTCAGAAAGGTCTATAAACAAGTTGGCTTTTTGAGGACCCAAAAACATCATCACCATCATTTTCTCAACTCTCTTCACCTGTTTGTTCTTTCACCTCTTCACACAGTCACCTGTTTAATTTGGTAGGCCTAACCCAAGATGAAGAATGTGGAGACTACAGTGAATGTTTTTAAAGGAGCTCTACACCTACATGGCACTTTTTAAAAGGTGTTAATATCGGAAATACACTAGATAAGTAAGGTTTATTTTTGACTTGATGGATCAGAACAGGTCATTATGTAGTAAAGTCTGTTCTAGTGGAACACTGGTTATCTCTAACAATGCTAAGAGTATACTGTCATGCTAGCAGCTCTGTTAGGCTGTGTATACCACACAGGAGCTTGATGCAAAGAATTCAAATCAATTCAATTTATATGTATATCGCCAATTCATAACAAAAGTTATCTCAGGACACTTTTCAAATAGAGTAGGTCTAGACCGTACTCCTTGTAAAATTAACATTATCATCTTAGTTTATCTCGTTAGCTCCCACGTGCTAATTAGTGATAAAAGAAAAGTACAGCTGATGGGAATGTTGCAGGGTATTTGGTCAGTGACAAAATTTTTTTTGACATGGTGAAGCTGAAGAAAGGAAATGTTAATGTTATTACAATTTATTGTGAAAAAGGACATGAATTTCTCTACCAAATTGTATCCAGTCATTAACATATTTGAGTCTGGACAAAAGTGGTAAATACACATATACAAATTATTTTGTTTTTTCAAATGTATATCTGCTGAAAAGTGTGAATTCCCTACACTGTTACTGCATTTACTGGAAGATTGAAAACACAGTGAAATACTAAGCTTTGAATTCACGAGGACCATTTGGACACTGCGACTAGGACTAATTCTGTTGCCTTATATCCATTTTAATCTGCAACACATGTTGAATCAATGAGTTTGACATGTTTAGTGGCAGCACACCAGTTGGTTCTTTCATACTTAGTCACAGAAACACGATGACGGTATCCACATTTCACTGCAGACACCATTCACAGCCACAGATGGAGTATTCATCTCCACATGATGAGTGGGTGGATTATCGAAGGTGCTGCGCTAATATTAGTTTTTTCCCAACTTACACTGCATTAACCATGGATGGGTTACCAAATTAGCCTATGGAGCAATTTCCAGAGAGCTCATGGACCCCAAGCCAGGTGCAGGCATTGGTGGAATAGGGCGCCTTTTCTTGTTTCTGTGTTCAGAATCCAGTCCAAGGCATTAACCAATGCCAATGTGAGAGCAGGGAACTACATTTACACATTTGTGTTGGTAAAAATAATGAATATATATACAGTATATGTGCATATGATGCCCACACAGTCTACATATAAACTTATTTATATAATAACAAAATAATCACTTGCTGCCTAATATATCCCACCCACTGACAGGTGGTATCATGATAACCAGATAATCAGTGATATTGACCTGTCAGTGCTCATAAGGTTATGACTTATCAGTGTAATCTCACTCAATAACTGCACCATAGCTCTGTCTTTTTAGGTATTCTATCAGTATTTGTC